CGGCTTTTTTATTGTTATTATTTATAATATTTCTCGTCGTCGTCGTCGTCGTCTGTGCGCATCACAGATACCGAGTTTTTTAAAGACAATAATAATAATAGTAATAATATTAGTAATAATAATAAAAAAAAAAAAAAACCATGACTTCCGGAGTGGCGGACGACGATCCGCTGCAGTCGCAGCGCTCTCCTTTGGCCACCGACGCGTGCAGCCAAAAGAAAATAAACGAAAACAATCGTCGGGTGAGTTGAATGGTTCAAAATATGGAAATTATAAAAATAATTATGAACACGTCGTGTTAAATACATTTCATAAATAAACCGTTATGTCACAGTGATGGGTTATATCACTTATATCGGTTGTTGTGTATAAAAAAAAAAAAATACGGTTTTTTTTCTACTTGGGAGACGATAAAGTTGTTTAGAATAATATTGAATTTTAAATATTTTTAAGACTTATAAATTGGTCATAGTAGTTAAGTATTAAAAAAAAAAAATAAATGTATTCTCAAGACGACGAATGCGAATATGCGATAAATATTATGCGATTTTACTACAATTAACTGCGAATCTGTCAATATAATTAATATTATGAGATATTCGAATAATAGCCAATAATAGCAATATTAATAAAAGTAATAATACCTAGCTACTAATAATTTTAATTGGTTACAACAACAATAATAATTATTATAGTCAATCGTAATTATTACTTTAGTATAAAGAAAATTGTTTTTCAAAACACATTTTTTTTTTATTATTAAATTATGTTTCAATTAAAATTACATCACTATTTTATTTCATGACTTTTTTATTTTAATTTTTTTATATTTATACGATATGTTTTACTATGTGGTTATAAACTATAAACGCCTTTTTTTTTTTACAATAATTGATATAATATTTTCAATGGTAGGCAATGAATTATATAAATTTGAATTAAATCTAATACTCAAAGGATCTATGTCATACCTTATACAATATTTAAATAATGAAACGGTCTCAAATTCAAAGAAAAACTTAAAAAGTCACTGTATTTTATATTAATTTATTGCATAAAAATAAAGTAATATCTACATTATTAATATTTTTTTAAAATTAATGTGTGGATTTTATATTTATGTTAATGTAAAAAATCACAATTTAAAATTATGTAAAATGTAAATACTTAATAGTTTATTAACATATTATTTGAAATTAAAAATATTTACTGAATTTAATTTTAATTAATATTAAATTTAATAACATGACTTATCAAATTATTTGAGGGTGACTAGGTTATTTGGGTGAAATAAGTAAATGTAAATAAATATTAAATCACTACTGTTATAAGAAATATAAGTTTTGATTTTCATATTTTATTTTTTGTAACGTAAAAATTAGATAGGTATAGGCAGCTTCTTATACATACGTGCCATTCGTTTTGTGGTTACAGTACACTTGTATATCGCAATCAACACTTAGAATTGAATTTTATTTATGCATATTAAGAAATAACAAACATATTTTTACTCTTTTTTCTTAACCGAATGATACAGGGTTCAATATGTCTTTTATCAAATTCTAAATATAACCATTCAAAATAGCCATTGATTAAATGAAAATAAACTTATAGTAACTATTTATTTTTTAGAGCAACAAACCAATAATGGAAAAGAAAAGAAGAGCAAGAATAAATAACTGTTTAAACGAATTAAAGACTTTGATCTTAGATGCGACTAAAAAAGATGTAAGTATAAATAAGAAAAAAATATGTATGTATATATATTAAATTGTTAATTGTATTTTATTTTATAGCCAGCTAGACATTCGAAATTGGAAAAAGCAGATATATTGGAAATGACTGTAAAACACTTGGAATCTATGCAAAGGCATAATGTAGCTTTAACTGCTGCCACAGAGTCTACAGTAGCCAATAAATTCAAAGCCGGATTTACAGAGTGTACAAATGAAGTAAACCGATTCCCTGGGCTTGAACCCCATGTTCGTAAACGTCTCATGCAGCACTTGAATACATACTTCAATAAAGAAAGTAGTAATAACAATCCCAAAATTCTCCCTACACCTCCAGAAAAATCAAATCTACAACTACACCTGGACTCTAACCAGAACGCTATATTATTGGGTACCACTGGTTCAGCTTGTGGAGTTCAATTAGTTCCTACAAGACTTTCCAATGGTGATATTGCTCTAGTTTTGCCTTCTAGATCTACTGAAACATCACCACCACCGCCCCTTTCTATGATTGCACCAACACCACCATCCACTCAATCTGATTCATCTGATACTGAGTCGCCTATGCCTGATAGACCTTTATCGTGCTATTCAATGGGTAGCACTGATAGTACAGATACATACAGTCAACCAGAACTTCCCCTTGCATTGGTTACCAAACACAGACGAGACGACGAACAGTCAGATCTAGAACAGCCCTGGCGACCGTGGTAGTAATAATTTATTTTCTGGTTTAACAGGATACTCTCATTAATTAAGTGTTTTTATTTTTAAATTCAAAATGTGTATGCATATTATTTGTATTCATTTACTTACATTGAAATATTTCTTTGTGCCATACATTCGAAATCGTGGAAATTGTTTATTAGAAGTAAAAGGCTGGTAGCGCATAACTATTTCATAAAACAGCTAACATTTATATTTTTGTTTTTACATCATAATTTGAAAAATCCAGTAAACAATTAATATTATTTTGTTAGGATTAAATTTAACGCTAAATTGTATAACAGTTGGTACCTCTATTTAGCAAGTTATTAAAACAAAACAGGGTTCGTGCAAATATTATATTAATATAAATTCAAGATCAAATATTAAAATTGCCGGGCATTAGTGCAACATATATTATCAATGTTAACGGTTAATTCTTATCCAATTATCGTACATGATTAATACATATTATAATAATTATATTTTTATTTTTTATGTTCAATTTTCTTTACATACCTACCTTGTACCTATAGTTACATGTGATTTATTTATCAATTATATTAAATGTTCATTCAACTTGTATTTATTTATATCATCTTATACATAGATTAAATAATTAGCTTAAAATTTTAATAATAAGAATGTAATATATTTATAAAAGTGTAAAGATTTTAAGTTAAATTACTTAAAATGCATAATCTATTTGTTTTTGTTAAATTATGTATGATTGTAATATCGTATTATGTATTATAAATCATAAATTTAAAAAAGTACCTATTCAACAATAATTGCATTGTCTTCCATTTGATTGTAACTTAATGGGCTTACCTGTTTTTTACATGTTACTTTATTTTAATATTGTGTTATTCAATTATATGAAATATATTGTAAGTATTTACTTGATGTTTAAGTAATACAATTATGTTATTAAATGAGAAAAACGTGCACATTTTTTCATTCTGATTATTAAGATGAAATATTAACACCCGTCATCCATTATCAATACATATAAAGGGCGCCAAATGCTTTAATAAATAAAATAAACCATTTATTCAAGTATAATAAACTAAGGTACGTTTAACATTATACCATTGTAACTATACTATAGTATGACAATATTTAATTAATAATTTTGAATGTCATGTTATGGATATTTACTATGTTTTACTAAATTTTAGTTAGTTTAATTAAATTTAATAATGTATATTAAATTGATAATAATGGAAAGCATTGCGTCGTAATTGACAACTTAATTATAACGAACCCAACAAACTTTTTTTTAAAGTGTTCCAATACTGATTTATAATGATCCTATAGACTGCTAAAGTCTATAGTTTTTACCTTGCAAACGATATTGACATACAGCCCTCCGTTAATTAATTAATATTCATTCAAACGGTAGGTACATAACAAGTGATTGTAAATTCGGCTCGAATAGATCCATTTAGTATATCACCTAGAAGACACCACAAAGAGGCGATTCTTAGTTCTTACTATCCTCTAAAAATTATTATGTTTTAATTTTATTTTCATATTATTATTTATAGTATGGAGTTCGTTATATAAATGTGAAATTGTAGTATAATAATTTAAATAAAATCTATATTTTAAGTAAAAAGCCATGAGTTTATCGTATTCTATCACCAATATTTCTTTATTTTTATATTTTTTAAATGTTATTTCTAAAAATTCCTTTTTTAAGTTTTTGAATTTTAAAATTTAAATGATGCATTTAGCATGTTTATTTTAATGCATATTTCTGTTTGTACTTCTTTTAATTTTGAAAAATAACAGAATATATAATTAGGATGAATTGAATTAAAATTTTAATTAAAATTCGCATGAAATAATTGGCATGTATTGTTGTTAATACGTTTCAACTGATGCACTGACCAACACATCAGGTAAAATTATAGCACTTCATCTATGTATGTATTAAATATTTATTGAATAAATAACCTACGAATTTAGTAACTCGATTATCATCCGGTTTTAATTCCATTAGGTTTAAAGTAAAAAAGTCTAAAACAATTTTCGGTTCTAAAAACACTAATCCATAACAATTAATCAACTATACGTATGCTTATTTCCGAATTTTATGTTTTGTAATTTATATTTAATCCATTTTGTTGTAAGTACATACCTACCTTCTTTTTTTCCTATTTAATTGACAGCAGAGAAGGCTCTGTTTGAAATATATACTACTCCTCTACTGCCATCATGTATTGATAAATACAATTTATATATACACTAATACACACAATATATAACATACAAATAACTAAAAAGTTACATCTCAAGCCAACCTATGTTCCCATTCTACTATTTACCCGAGGAGTGTTCAGTCATTTGGGGAGGCAACTCTTAAATTGCCTCTTACTTCAACCTTGACTAGCCTCTCTGCATAGTATGCCATCAACCATATCATAAACGAACTACTACATGGCACGCTTGAAGATTGTTGTATATACCTACACCTGCAAGCTAGTATTATGTGGAATTGGAATCCATATTTTTTAATGTTTGGCCAAACAAAATTACAAGCCCGATAGTTGGCTTTTTCAAAATTACTAATACATAGCCCTACATTTTTCACAAATATGTTTTAAAAATGAAATATATATATATCTATAGTTTTTCCGGCTAATAAACAAAAAATAAAAGCGGTATGTAATGACCGAGTTTATATGATCATATATTGTAAACATTTATTTAATAAACTTGGCATAGTATAAGATAGTTCCGTCAACGTATATTTTGATGTGCAAAGCATTCTTAAATTTTTATTGCAGCTAAAAATGATTATTGTTTTTTGTCCATCATTTCATTAATTAATAAAAATGTATATTTATATTTGTAACTATTCCATACTTTCTAATACCTCATGTACTTGATTGATTGATTTTGGTAGAACAGGAATTGACTTTCTTCTCGCGTTGTACATATTTATCTTAGTATATTGAATATCACTTACTTGTAAGTTGTAGATGTTGCGCATCAGGTACATTATTTACTGCACTACAAAAAATTTTATTTGACCTGGTGCAGGTATTTCACCACTTATAGGTTCGTGGTCATGATCGCCATTTTTATCTATAATATTATTACTTATTCCAAACTTTTTTTAATACACTTTCATATTTGCAGTTTATACATCGCCACTTTATTTCATCTAAAGCTAACGTACGATTTACTTTAGAATATTTAAAATTTTCCAAACTAACTGTAGGTGTTCCACGTTGTTTAAACACTAATGAAACATTGTTTCAAAATTCCAATACAAAAATCAAATCATTTGTCTCAATATTTAAATATATTTTACTTTCGTTAATAACGAATTGGTTACCATTAGATATAGTACGTTATTTATTATTTTCAGATTAAATTATGCCCCGTTTGTTATATATTATCGAGTTTACAGCAAAAAAAAATAATTTTGGAATCAGTTTATATTTGCTCTACAAAACAATACATATTTAAGTCTTATGTCCGATTCGTCCAAATGAACTACGCTCCTATATAATATAATATGATTTTAAAGAATTCGTCTGTATTGTTATGTTCTGATAACTATAAAATGTATATCAATACGTTATTTATATGCATAGCGTAGTACTGTCAATAAGGTATAACCAGTCTTATAAAGTACTTGAGTTGTCGAGCAAAGTATTCAAATACCTTTAGATTTTAAGTGGCGTGATGATAAATCATCGTGTAAAAATAATTATTCCGAATAGTTTGTCAGTCTATATAATACATTATATACAATGATATTTCACTTAAATATTTTAATGATATTATTCTTCTTCTATAGCTCTATCTCTTCACTCGACTATATGGAGAAGAGGGGACCACCCTTGTCCTACATCTACATATAGTACTTAGTTTCCCACCTTTAATTGACTCTCACCTACTATTTTTATTTTCTAGTTATTAATAATTTATTTTACAATACGTGCGGTTAATTTAACTATATTTACAAAAAATAAAAACAACAACTATCAAGTATTATATTATATAATTACAATAAATTAAAAATTTTATTAACTTATACAAAGTTTATAAATCAACATTTACCGATATGGTAACGCCCCATCATAGAATAATCACATGAATGAGTTCATTGTACATATAAACCAACTTAATATAAATAGTTTGAAAATTTCGTTGTATAGTAAGTAATTATTAATCTATAATAGGTATGTATCTAATTCTAAAAAGTTGAAATTTTGTAAATACTTATAATATTTTTAATATAATTATAATAATAACCATAAAACATATTTTCTTTTAATTACTTACTTAATCAAAACACTTCAACGCTATAAACCCTTCAGTTAAATAATTTTCATAATAACTGAGCTATATGCGAAATTAATCACCATGAAAAATATTTGTAGGTAAATGATTATTGTAACAAATGTGGTTTGTATAAGTTACTAAAACAGAATTATTAACCTAGCAACACAAATTTTAATGTAAAATTAATAATTATATTGAAATTATTAATTAATACCCACAAAATAATAATTATAATAATATTGCTATGAAAAAAAAAAAATGCATTATTATAATATTATAAAACCAGTGAACTAGTCCTTGTATCCAATTTTACATCTGAATCCTTCGATTATACATTCACAACCGTTTACTATTTGCAGATAATATGACAACATGGTATGAACGTACGATACTGTTTTGAGTTTTCCCAGTCATTCGGCTTACACCGGACACGCCAGACAGTTTAGTTACAAGAAATTGTCGTAAGTCTTCGTAAAGACGTTAACATGATTTCCTCTCGCTTTATGTTATTAATCATTTTTGTTTACGCCAAAGACACGATTGTTCGATCGAAACCATATGCAAAACCTAAGTCATCGTTCGGTAAGTTTTATTTATTTGAAAAAAATTATAGCTATCTATTGTTAATATTACTGAAGATTTCCTCGTTCATATTAAAATTCCTTTAATAGTTTTACAATTATTGGATAGTACTGATGTTCTATAGTCTTTTTGGCATCAATAAATAACTGAGTTACACCTTACCTCTCTTTTACTTATTATCTATAAGCAATCAATACAAGTGTGTTATTTTAAATATTTATTATAATTTTCAACTAGTCATTCATATTACATATTAAATATATATTTACATGTATATATATGTATATGTGTGAAACATGGATATTATGTAAATATGTAGATTCTCCATTTTTATATTAATACAATAGCTATACAATGCCATAACATAATATTTACTTAAATGGTTAAAAATAAGTTTAAAAAATACATATACATGTGTATATTATTACAGTAGATAATTCTATAATATTATTATATTATACACACGCAGGAATTCAAATTCCGATTTTATCACATCGTTATAGACAAATCTAAACTTATCTTTATTTACCTACATATTTATTTATTTATTTATTTATTTTTTTTTTATTCTTTGCTGGTATTGCAAATTACATAATTACATTTTCTTCACTGTTCTTAAATTTGTAGAATTTTTTAAAGAATACAGCCATACGATATATTATTATAAGTATATAATATTTTGCTATAAATATTTTTGTAAGGAA